GAATTTTTAGAATTTTTTAAACCTTCTCGATAACCTTCGAGATTTTTCAAGACCATTAAGGATTTTGCGAGACCCTTCGTGTTTTTCTTTTCGGAAATTTTTAAGAACTTTTTGAATTTTTTGGAACGCTTCCGTCTATTTCGGCAATTTTGGTACTTTCTGGAACTTTTTGACAGTTTTTTTTTGATTTTTGCGGGACTTTTTGAGAAACTTGGGAATTTTTATAAATTTCCCGGGTCTTTTCGGAACTTTCAATCTTTTTCGGGAATGCGCACATCCAAAAAACATATTTAAACTTTGACTTTACTTTTGGTTAATGCTTTAAAAATGCAAAGTAACAGTTATCGATAAAATAAAAGGCAAACTTAGCATTTCAATTCAACCATAAAAAAAGCAGAAAAAAGCATCTTGCTAAAAAAAAATATAAGTCAACTAAATTTGTTTGCTTTTTTACTTCAAAATGCATAATTGCACCAACTTGGTCATGATAAGGAAAAAGCCAGAAGAGTCAGAAAACGCGACCTTTAAGTTTTATGGGATTTTACAATTTTTTTTTCAACACTTCTCAGGATCATTCGAGATTTGCAAAACCATTAGGATATTTCGTGACCCCTCTTAATAAAAAATTCTCAAAAATCAACGCGGTTTTTTAACTAACTAAGTTGAAAACTTGCATGAAAATTTATTGAATTTTCCTTAGCTTTGCACAAAGTTTAGAAATTATATTTTTATGTTTTTTTATTGTAGTTAGTATGAGCCATGTTTTTCTAAAAAAATTATCTTTGCCACTACCTTTTTCCTGCAGAGTACATACAGTGGTGGTGGTGGTGGTGGTGGTGTGGTTTTCAAGTAGGTTTTTAGTTTTCGGAGTTATTTTTCTTCTGTCAAAGTTCAACCCCGCTGATTTCGTTCAATCACGTCACTTATCTCTTCCATGTCTACCACTCCATTAATCACATCAATTCTAAAGAACGGTTTGAAACTTTACTAAATCACTCACCCGCTGTATCTGAGTATTGAGTTAGCATCAGAGAGCTTCCTGCTAGGTAGCTGATACAAATTGATATAACGGAGAAAATAAATGAAAAATATTTAAAATCGGAGAGCTATACATTCTTGTGGACGCTTTGTCGGAGCGAGGAAATTTTTGTGCATAGAACGCAGCACTCAAGAATTATATACATATGTATATTTATATGCATATATACATTAGGGTGGGCCTTAAAAAAACAATGAACGATGCCTCTATGGACTCAAAGAATTAAAAATACTTTTTTTTCGATTTAATACCCAAAATCGATACTACTAAAGTCGCGGACATCACATATAAATATTGGTCGCAATTGAAGTCGGTTAAAGCGTATCGCAAAGGTCAAAGGTCAAATGCTTCTATGGACTCAAACAATAAAAATTATTATTTTTTTTTCATTTAATACTACTAAGTCGAGGATGTCATATATAAATTTTGGCCTCGATTGGAGTCGGTTAACACGTTTTCAAAGGGTTATCTGTGCGACACGCCTTAACCGTCTTCAATCGGAACCAAAATTTAGATGTGATATCTTCAACAATGGTAGTATCGATTTTGAGTATTAAATGAAAAAAAAAAAATAATTTTAATTTTTTGGGTCTCCATAGGGGAATCTGAACTTTGCCCCCTGTGCGACACGCCTTAACCGTCTCCAATCGGGACCAACATTTATATGTGATATCCTCGATTATGGTAGTATCGATTTTGGGTATTAGATGAAAAAAATTAATTTTAATGTTTTAAGCCTCCATAGGGGAATCTGAACTTGGCCCCCTGTGCGACTCGTCTTCACCGTCTTCAATCGGGATCAAAATTTATATGTGATATCTTCGACTATAGTAGTATCGACGTAGGGGTTGAGGCCTAGGAAATCTGATGTAAAAATGTGCTTCCTTCATTTAAGGACCACCCTAATGTGCATACATACAATCGCTTTATTTAGTACTGTACTAACACATTAACAGTTCATTTAATTTCAATTTATTTTCGCGTACCATCTTAACGCGATTGCATACTCGCACTCTTCTGTTTCGCATTTGCACATAGTAAGTACGCTACTGCCTTCGCGCTTTGGCATACGAGTATTGACAGTGGCTGTTGCGGCTGACTGGGGCTGCGGTTGCGGCACATTTGACAGCGACAATTTCTTTTTTTTTGATTCTGTTGGTGCTTTTATTCTTTCTCCTTTTTTCGGTGGTGGGTCTATGATCGATTATTGTGACAATTGAAAAAATAGTTCACGGGCAAGAATTCACAAGCGTGCAAGCGTTCTCCACTGCTCTGGCAGCTGAAGGAGTCGAAAGAGCAAGTGTTGTTGAAGAATTCTTTTACACTGTTGCTTTGCGCTCAGCTATCGGAAATCGTAAACAGAAAATAACGCTTATCTCTGAGTGGGCATTGTGGATTTTTTTGTTTTAGCAATAAGGTGTCGCAAAATACAAAAGTGATAAGCTTGATTTCAAGAAAAAATTTATGATAAAAAGTTGGTAAAGTCCAGATAAAAAAATAAAGCCTTCCCGTAAAAATTTTCTAAGAAAAAATTGCTAAGCGGTTCTTGTGATTTAATTTTGCTTTGTTTTTCGTATTGCATATTCCATTGCGAAAGTGTGCAATTCGCCTTTGTGAAAAAGAATAGAATTAAAAAAAAGAAGTTTATTATTAGCTCTTCAAATACATATCATATCAAAGAAAAGTGTGTTTTCGCGCGGTCATTGCTGCGCAGCCGATGAGATTAAAGTTCACACACCCGAGTACCCGCTAAAGATGATCATGTGGAGTGGTATCTGTGAGGTTGCCTCTCTCTATGGCCTGCAAACTTCATCGTTCTTCATGAGTGGTGGTGTTGGAAGTTAGTATGGTGGAATTTTGCAATAAATTTTGAGTTTCTAAAAGAGATGTTAATGCCTTTTTGTTTGTAAAAACGTGCCAAAAAATTTTTTAAAATTCTTTGGCAATGTTACACAGGGATAGTAAATTAGTAATTTGTAGCAAAAAAAAAACCGACTTCAACTCCCATAAAAAAAAAATATATATATATATATATATATCTCATGATCCACTGATCGGATCTCAACCAGATTAGTATGGGACCACCTCTGAGACACTACCTTTCCGATGCAAAATTATCGAAATCGGGTTGGTCCAAAGTTATGCGGTAACACACATAAAAAAAAAAAAAAAAAAAAAAAAATTCCGACGAACTGATAAC